AAGGTTTACAGTATTGATAAATCACTTTAATTAGTAATTAATTTTTATTTTTATCAATGAAAATATTCCTATGAATTCTCAATTATATCTTGACCCATCTCACATGTAAAGGGTTGATTATGAATGGAAAATAAGAATTTCAGAAGAAGAAAGATGATATCTGGAGAGGAAACTGAAAAAAAAAAAGGAGAATTTCATAATGTGGGTCCTATCTATTAGGGTTTTTTTTTTTCGCGAAGAGAGCATGACATGAAAGGTGTTATTAAGTTCACATAAACACTTTTATACAATGGAATATCCATGTCAGATGTTCCTATTAAGATAATGTGCCACGTGAAAAAAAATTAACGGAGGCATTAAAAATGAGTCAAATTTCAAATTTTAGGAACCAAAATGGAGTTTTTTCAGTATAGGGACCAAAAAGTGGTTTTTTCATAGTAAAAGGACCAAAAAAGATATTTAACCAAAAAAAATCAAAGTTCCAATTTTATTTAACGTTGTGAATTTTTTTTTTTTTTTTGATAAAGGCAATAGTTAGTATGTTAGTATTGTTAGATGTTAACAACTAGAGATTTAATCTCCAAATCTGATGAACAGTCCACTTACCTCAAAGAGACGCCCAATCATCAGCTCCTTCATTTAACGTTGTGAATTTGAATGCGGAGGATAGACATACATGCACTTGCAGTTGTAGGGCTGGAAAAAATGTCCCCCACTCATTTCTATCACATGATTTAGCTGAAGGATGCGTCATGCATGACGCTCATTAATGTTTTCTAGGAATATTTTTCTATTGCTATTTTTAAATTGGCTGATACTGTTAGATTTTTGTCCTCTCTATCTTGCACGCCTAGGCATTCAATTCATTTTTTCATGCTTTTTAGTATTGGTGATTATTATTATTATTATTAATTATTATTATATAGCAATTAATGATATAATAATATTATATTTATAATATTATGTAATATTATAAATTTATAATTATGATATATTATTAAATAAATATATATATATAATATTATAAATGGATTTATGAATAAAAGAGTTAATTATACAATGAAATATCATAAATGGAGTTCATTATAGATAGTATGAATAAGAGTAAAAATTTGATAACAGCCACCAAGCTTTTGAGAGGAAATTTTACATCCTAATGTAGCATATGATCTGCTCTCCCAAAACAAATACTTAATGATGCATGTGACTAGGGATGTCAACGGGGCCCTGCAGGGTAGGGGAGTCGCCCTCGTCCTCGTCTCTGTGAATGGTTGGGACGAGAATTCCCGCGAGGAATTTTGAGGGGAGCAGTTTTTGCCCCCAATCTTCATACCCTGCGAGGAACGGGGATCCCCTCCCCATTCCCCATCAATTAATATCAAGCTATAAATCTTTTAACAAAGCCAACGTCACCAATGCAACCAATCCCAACTATAGAAAAAAGAGGATGAAATGAAAGCATACCAAAACTTAGATAAATGAAACTTAGACTTACTTCTAGTATTCAAAACATCTAAAACCGACATCACTGACACTGTTGATTCAACCTTGACGTGTCAGATTGTGAGATCCTAACAAACCAACGATGAAATCACACTCCAAATCAGCATAAGAGCTAAACACGAAGTAGCACTACAAGTGAAACCCGTTTGCCACAGTCGAAGAAGGAGGACATAGGACCGAAGATAGCGTTGCCAAAACCAGAACG